TAAAAATAAAAAAGCAAATAAAATTTATATTTCCTAGTAAATTAACTCAACTTTTTTTCAAAAAGGGTCCCTGGACTCTGTGTTATATCTGGCTTCTGATTTCCTAATATGTCAGTTCTCACTGCAGAGTCAGAATGAAATGGTGCTTTTTATAAGTACTGAAGTATTATGTATTAATATGTATACATTAAAGACATGTGTTTTATTTTTTAGATACATTCTCCTTCATGTTAAATATAGACATTGAGATAAATCTTAGTTTATGATAAATAATTACATAAGTCAGTAAATTTTTTAAAATAACAAATTCCTCTATATCAGCATAATAACTTTTTTTTAATTTTTTACTTTTTTTTAAGAGATAAGAGTCTCCCTCTGTCACCCAGGCTGGAGTACACTTGCCTGATCATAGCTCTTTGTAACCTCAAACTTCTGGGCACAAGCAATCCTCCCGCTTCAGCCTCCTGAGTAGCTAGGACTATAGGCATGTGCCACCACGCACAGCTAATTTTCAGTGTAACAATTTATTTTACCTAACCAAATAATTATGGTGACACAAATAAATGTCTTATGTTGACAAAAAGACAGGGACCTTCTGCCTAAGGAATAATTTACACAGACGATATTGCACACTCACCAGTGAAATCAAAGCATCGCATACTAATTTTTTTAAGATAAGCTTCGGCAGTCATGTCATAGGTTTTGACTCTAGCTTCCATTCCAAGGTGCAGGATATTTAATTCCTGTAAAGGCCTTCCTTTCTTTTCTGCTTTTTTCATCAAAGTAACCACAACCTAAAAGAAGGTATCAGTATTACCACAAACTACGTCACTAATACACAGTGAAGATAAGTCAAAAATGTAATAACCATTAGGATATAAGAAATTCACACAATTCAAAGATATTTACTTCTATTGCACCCAAAAACTGCCTCATATTATCTATCTCAGAAGGCACATTTACTTGTTCAGACTTTTGAAGTATCACCACAATATTCTGATAGTTTTCAAAAGTAAAGTACCAAAAAAAAAAAAAAAAAATTAGGCAGTTCAGCCTAATTCTCCGAAGCCCTAGTCTGATGGATGGCCTTCCATCTGAAAACCTGTGAGACAAACAGCCAATTTTTATACTACTCCTAAGGCAGGTATTCTCAACCTTGGCACTATGAACATGTTGTGCTGATAATTCATTGCAGTGGTGCTGTCCTGTGCACTGCAGGACATTTAGCAGCATCCCTGGCCTGTACCTACTAGTTGCCATTAGTCCCCTCCCCCCCAGGTAATGTCAACCAAAAATATTTTCAGACAATGCCAACTATCCACCTGGGGGCTGCAAATTGTTCCCCTTTACCCCAACTACTGTCTTAAAGAAAGGGAACTAGCATAATATGTATTAAAAAAAATATTTAAAAGGACTTGAGTTTTCTATGTACGTATTATGTATATTTCTATGTATGAATTATGTAATTCTATGTACTTAATTTAAGTTAATTAAGTAATTTAAGTTAATTAAGTACTATTACAAATAGAATGATTCATCTATCAATGTTTCAATTACCTAAGCTTAAAAATCTTCACTAACTCTGATATTAACCAAAAAAACTCAAAGGTTTAAGATAAAAGTTAGTTTCAAAGCATGTATTTCAGATCAAAAAAGGAGAACCCCCTCATTTGTTTAAACAAGTTTATTATTTTTAACTTGGAAAAGACCACCACCTCCATATGACTATTTATGATAAAGGGATGTTGAAGGAAGTTCTTGCAAGTCCCTGTATCTACTATGCTCTCTCACATACACATACTTTTATGCCTGTTTCTCTTTCTACCCTGACGCAGAGCCTTTCCTGATCCCTTTTTCCCAGATGATTTATTATTCTTCAAAAACTTGACTCAAATGTCACCTCCTTCAAGAAATCTTCCCTGACCCTCTCAGTCTGCTTAGATGCTCCTCCCTACATCAACACCACAAGTTCCAACAGCACACTGAGTGTATTTTTAAAGGGAGCACATAAAAATTTTAATTGCTCATTTTTTTGTTTGAGTTCAGAGTCTCTGCCTTGTACCTCTGTATACTTAGCTCCTAGCACATACAATAAATATTTGTTAAATGTGTGAATAAAGAGGAAAATTCATTTAATCTTTCCTCAAGAATCTGCAGATGAAAAATATATAGCAATGTAACATTTTTTTAAATGTAGACATATTGTGTTTTATTCTATTATGGATTTCTAAAATTTGCAAAGGATTTCTCTGTCACTATTACCCTTTCCTGACTTTCTTATATGAAATCCAAAGAAAGGTATATTCCAACTGTCCTAAAATCATTAAAAAGCATGTTACAGGACATGCTACCATTTTCTCTATGAAATATTATATCTCCCAAATATAATTCACCCTGAATAAACTTTCAAATTTTGAAACATCACTGTCACATGTAAATAGCCTATGTAAGATATTTTTCATCTGTATCAATTATCTACAAGTTTACTTTAGTAGAGGTAATTCCAAATATCCATTGTTTATTCACCTCACTTTACAAAAATAGATGAAAATTACACACCTCTTTAATTTCAAAATTCAGCAGCATATTAATGATGTCTACAGATCTAATTTCTTCCACTCCAGTTGTTAAAGTATCTTTTGAAGCATGTACATCTTGTTGTGATATAGAGATTTCAAGGGGCTCTTTAATTTCACCTAAAAATGTTTAAAAGAAATTCATTCACTTTTATTCACACATTTCTTCCACAAATACTTATTGTGGACTTATATGGATACTCTAGACCTCATGCAGGCACTGAAAATCTACAAATCAGAAATAGCTCTGGCCCTAAGAAAACTCATGGTTTAGTAGAAGAAACTCATACATTTAAAATACAAATAAACAAAATGAGCAGGCTTCAACCGATCACATTAAGTGGACAAATGTTAACAGACTCTGTATAAAATGCAGTGAAAGCATAGAATAAGGCATGGCGTTGTTATGAGGAGGTCAAGAAAGGCTTAATGGAGGAGGCATCACTCAAAAGAAAGCGGAAGGACCTCCTCACTCAGAGGAGACATTCCAAGAAAAAAGATAAGAAAGTGTGGAAAACCAAAGAACAATAACACATTTGCAAACAGAATGGAATTTGATATGGTTAAATAATGAGAAGATAACAAGAGGTAAGACTAGAAAAGAAAAAAAAAGGGGTGGGAGGTTAAGCCCTCTTATGCCATACCAAGAAACAAAAGTAAAGCTACATAAATACTATGCTGTTTTTCCGAATTCACACACTCTGAAATGCTATAAAATTTCTTTCTAAACCGTAATACACAAAAATAACAACTATCACTTGCTAAGTGCTTACCTGTGTGTCAGACACTGCTCTAAGGCTATATGTGGACTGCTCTATTTAATTCTTATGACATACTTTTGAGGTTAGGAACTTTATTGTCCTTTATTTTTAATTTTACTCATGAGAAAATTGAGGTTCAGACAGATTCAGTAGTTTGCTCAGTGTCACACAAGTGGTGGAGTCCAAATTTGTAAGTCTGATTTTATAGCCTTTACTTTCTACTGCCCCTCAATATCATTAAATTAATTATTACTATTATTAGAGTTAGCATTATATTGACCAATACTACAATGCACAGGAACCTTGCAGTGTAAACTATACCAGAAATCCATATGGAAAACCACTGCTATTAATTATTACCTTTGAGAAAGTAACTATCTTTAAGGTAGTTAAGGTTTCTTAACTATCATCTTGTTCTAGCACTATTCCAAACATAATGTAAACCAGGGGAAATAATTCTAGCAAATATTTTGAGTTTAAAAAACAATGCCTGGAATAGGCAAAGATTTCTTAAATAGGAAATAAAAAGCACTGATCATTGAAAAAGATAGTAAATTGAAGTTTATTAAAATTAACAAATTCTACTCATCAAAAGACACAGTAAGAGTGAAAAGGCAAACCACAGATAGGGAAAAGATATTTCTACATGTGTACCAACACATATATATATAACACACACATATATAACACATATAATCAGCAAAAGGCTCATATTCAGAATAAATTTTAAAAACTCCTATATATCAATAAAAAAAGCTCAATAAACATAATTGTCAATAGACTTCAACAGTTATGTCACAAAAAAGGATATCCGAATGGCCAATAAGTATACGAAAAGATGTTCATATAACTTCATTAGTAAGTTGAATAAATAAAACCCATAGTGAGATACCACTATATATCCTACAGAATGGCTAAATTTTTAAAAATTCACAATTCTAAATCCTGATAAAAATGTGAAACAACTGGAACTCTCATACAGTGCTGGGAGAAAAGTGAGTTAGTACAACCACTTGGAAAACTGCTTGGTATAATTTAGCACAGGTTACTGAAGCTAAATGTAAATCTAACATATGACCTAATAATTCTACTCCTACCTATATATACAAAAAAAAAGTATATAAGTACATTGAAAGACATGTATAATAACATGCATAGCAACTTTATTAGTGACAGCTAATTGGAAACAACCCAAATGCCCATCAAAGATAGAATGGGTAAAATAGTGATACATTCATGTAAGTGAATACCACAGGAATAAAAAGAAATAACTATTGCTACATACAACAACATGAATGAATCTCACAAACAAAATGTTGAATGAAAGAAGCCAAACACCGTAGAGTAAATTCTGTATGATTCTATTTATATGAAATTCAAAAAGAGGCAAAACTAATCTATTACAAGTCAACACACTGACTGCCATGTGAGTTGTATTTAACTCAGGCTAGTTTTGAGGCTGGGGCCTCCTGAAGCAAAAGCCTGCAGCTTGTTCATGAAAATCGTACTCACTGATGTT